GGCAGCAAAGTCGACGAGCTCAGTGACAAGGGCAGACGCAGCAGAAGACTCGAAAGAAGGGTCAGTGACAGCAGTAGCAAGGAGACGCGTGACAGTAGGACTGGCAGCACGAAGAGAGTCCGACTCCGGGTCGGCAAGAGCAGGAAGAGAGGAAGCAGGAGGAGAAGGCAAAGGGGCACGCAGAGGAGCAGTGGACGGACGCAGAGACATCCGGTGCGTGCCAGGGACAGGAGGAGGACGCTGACGCGAACCGCGACCACTAGTGCGCGCAGTACGAACAGGCGACGCAGGACGAGACGCAGGCTCACGACGCTCAGTAAGACCTCCAGTCGGACCAGCGTAGGGAGAAGGAGCAGCAAAGGGGAGGCAGGCTGTAGCTGTGACTGTGACGAGAAAGGCTGTGGACCCTCTAAGGGAGGAGGAGGAGGACCAGGAGAAGGTGTAAGACCAAGAACCTGCTGCAGGAGCGGAACGAAGTACGGCCGGGGCGCGCGGCGACGCCACAAACAGCAGGGACAGCACCAGTACCCCCAGCAGGAGTACCCCGCTCCAGCAGCACCAGCAGGAGAACCGCCAGTCGGACCTCCAGCGGCAGTCTCAGCGTCAACACCCTCAGCAGCACCAGCTCCAGGAGAACCCTCAGACCCAGCAAGCTCCAGCACCCACAGTACGAGCACCGCCGGGACGCTCGGCAGTAGTACCCTCTGCAGCTGAAGAACCTCCAGCACCAGCAGCACGCCTCCAGCGTCTGGCAAACCACTCACGTAGCTCCTGAGGGGAGAGTGGCTCACGGCGAGACGAAGCACCTCCAGGCGGAGCACCCCCAGTCTCAGCACCCCCAGGCTCAGCACCCCCAGGCTCAGCGCCCCCAGGCTCAGTACCCCCACGCACAGTACCCACAGGCTCAGCACCTCCAGGCACAGCACCCCCAGGCACAGCACCCCCAGGCTCAGCACCCCCAGGCTCAGCACCCCCAGGCACAGCACCCCCAGGCTCAGCACCTCCAGACTCCGCACCCAAGGCTCAGCTCCCACAGGCGTAGCACCTCCAGTCTCAGCACCCCCAGGCTCAGCGCCTGCAGCCGCACCAGAGTCACCAGTGACCTCGACAGGATCGACCGCGTCTACCTGGGACACACCTGAAGGGGCAGGACCCTGAGGGGAAGGGGGTCTACCGGGGGGGGACCTAGTACCAAGAAGAGCGGGGGAGGGGGGAGGGACGGAGTGCGGTAGGGGAAGAGGCGGTAGTAGGGTACGGACTCGTCGAACGTGACGTCCTGAGAGGACAGAACACGTCGAGAGGTGGGGTGGTAGAACTACCACCCGGAGGCGTCGGGGGGGAACCCCAGGAAGACGCAGGGAGCAGCGCGAGGGGACAGCTTGTCCGCAGACAAGTCGCGGACAAACGCCCGAGATCCCCAGACCCGGAACGCCAACGCATCGCCAACCTTCCCCGTCCACAACAGCGCTGGGGAGGTCTCCGGCCTGGAGACCCTGGGGTGGAGGTTGATCTGATGCGCTGCGTACCGAATTGCAAACGGCCACAGAAAATGGGGGGCAGCCGCATGCATCATGGACGTACGAGCGACGTCCATGACCATGCCAATGCGGCGCTCTGCAATCCCATTCTGCTGCGGGGAGTCCGGAAGCGTGAAGGACTGGCGGATGCCTCGCGCACGACAGTAGGCACGCAGAAGGCCACAGGAGAACTCTCCGCCTCTGTCCGAGTGCAGACGCAACACAGGAAACTGGGAGGAGTGAGGGGCAGCACGCTGGCGCCCCTCGACACAGGGGACACAGGCAGGGCCAGGGCCCTGAGGAAGGGGAGGTAGAGACCGGGGGAGACCAGACACAGAAGACGGGAGGCCATGCCTCTGAGCCGAAGCAGAGAGGGGTGGCCAAGACGGTGGTGCCAGAGGAGGGTCTCGTGAGACAGACGACGACACGAACAGTGGGCAGACTCAGGACCAGACCTGGACGCTGCAGCAAACACCTGACCAGACGAAGGCACGCTACCAGACTCAGCACCTGGAGGAGAAGCAGTGGTCAGTGTGTACAGGCTCGACCCTGGCTGACGTGTAAACGTAGCCAGGTGACGACCCGTGCTAGCCTCCGTGCAGTGCGTCACTCGCTGACTAGCAGGGGTGAACTGGTGAACTCCCCCATCCTGTAGGTCAGCAACACTCACCAAGTTCGTAGAGAACGAGGGGAGGTAGAGACCAGACAGGGTGCCAGAGGGAGCCGCCGGACACGGGAGGACCGTGGAGAAGCGAGCCAGGACAGGACCCCCATAGGGGTCAGCCAGGGAAACCGCAACCGGCCGACTAAGCGGCGTAAGTGTGGTGCGGTCCCGAAAGAAAGAGCGAGACGCTCCAGAGTCAAAAGTGAAGTGTGGGAGGCCGAAGCCGACGCAGTACATGAGAGCGCAGACGCACTAGTACCTGAGAGAGCAGACGCACTGGCACCTAGAGCAGAAGCCTCACCGGCACCTGGAGCAGCCGTACCAATGCCCGGGTCGGGCGGGAAACACCGGTAACAGTCACCCTCCTCACTAGTGGTCACAGCATACATGGCAGCAAGGATAGCATCAAAATCAAGATCAAAGATAGCTACACCAGCCCTAGACAGCTCTCCCCAGCGGGGGATCTCCGCGGCCTCCGGGAACTGCTGACGCCAAGCGTTTGTCAGGCGGCCAAAGCAGAGCTGAGCGGGGTGGGCACCCCCACACTGCTCTCCAGTGCGGTCGCCAGTGCGGAGAACGTAGGTGCAGGGACCAAAAACCCCCACCGCGCTGACGCTGCGTGTACCACTCACGGAGCTGCTGGGGGGTGAGGACGTCGCGAGAACGGTGCTGCTGCTGCTGCTGCTGCTGTTGGCGCTAACCGCCACCAGTGCCGCTCCGCTGCGAAGCCCCACTCCGACCACCTCCACCTCCGCCACCCCCGCCTCCGCCTCCACCGCCCCCGCCCCCACCTCCACCGCCGCCACCTCCGCCACCTCCGCTACCACCGCCACCGCCGCCGCCACTCCCGCCGCCACCGCTGCCACTAGCACCCCCACCCCCACTACCACCTCCACTGCCACCTCCACTCCCTCCGCCGCCTCGACCCCCACCGCCACCGCCCCCACTGGCCCCACCCGCTTCCCTTGCCCCCCTTGCCCTTGCCAGAGCGGCGTCTCCCGCTAGGGGCAGACGCCGCACCGACCGACTCAAGACCAACGAGGTCGGCCGCAGCGGCAGAGGCAACAGAGGGCAGGAGAGGGAAGGAGAACACCCCTCAAAGATGGGGGCGCGGGGGTCACCTCGAGAGGCTCCTACAGCAACTATGCTCTTCTCTGCTGCAAGACGGGCCTTCTCGAGGCTGTCGACGGTGAGGGTGGTGGGACAGACCGCAAGGAAGTGGTCCCGGACTACACGAAGGGAGTCAGGGAGGCGAGTGACTAGGAAGTAGAGAGTGATGTACATGGGGGGGGGGTTCTTGGCGCAGAAGTCAGCAGGAAGTGCAGCGCGGTAGCGAGTGTCACTAGTGCGGAGGTGCGTAATGAGATCAGCGACAGTGGGAAAGGCGGCAAGGTCAGGGAAGAGGAAGGGGAGCATGAGGCGGCTCAGTGCAGCAGTGGCAGGGGAGGAGTAGCGTGCAACTACAGCGTCGTACAAGGTCTGAGCACTCTTGTACTGGCTAAAGTGCGCGGCGCTCAGCGGTAGGCAGGTGGCGACGCACAGCAAGACGTGCAGCAGCATCGCGCGTGGCCCACTGAGAGCGAACAGTGGCGTCAGCATCAGCAGCAGGGGCAAGGACAGCGCCAGAGGTGAGGTCAAAGAGAGACAGACTGTCGGCCCTGTCGCACTGTAAAAACAGCTGCAGGTCGTCGAGCCAGACCTCAAAGTCAATGGCTCGACCCTCAGCGTCAAAAGTGAGGACAGTGGGTGTAGCCATGACGACGACAGTGGCGCAGTGCAAGCAGTAGGGGAAGGGTACGCAGTGACAGCAGTGCAGTGCTCACCGGGTAGGGCAGGTCGGGCGGCTCAGGAGGAAGGTCACCAGACGACACGGCCGCTAGGCTGCTGGGCGGCTCGGCTCCTGGGCGGCTCGGCTGCTGCTGGGCGGCTCGCCTGCTGTTGGGCGGCTCGGCTGCTGCTGGGCGGCTCGGCTGCTCCTGGGCGGCTCGGCTGCTGCTGGGCGGTTCGGCTGCTGCTGGGCGGCTCGGCTACTGCTGGGCGGCTCGGCTGCTGCTGGGCGGCTCGGCTGCTGCTAGGCGGCTCGGCGACTCGTCTGCTGCTGGGCGGCTCGGCTGCCGCTGGGCCGCGTAGGTAGGGCGGCCGGGCCGCGAAGGTAGGGCGGCGAGCGGGCCGCAGGTAGGGCGGCGGGTGGGCCGCAAGTAAGGCGGCGGGTGGGCCGCAGGTAGGGCGGCGGGACGGCCGCAGGTAGGGCGGCAGAAGGCCGCAGGTAGGGCGGCAGACGGCCGCAGGTAGGGCGGCGGATAGGCCGCAGGTAGGGCGGCGGGACGGCCGCAGGTAGGGCGGCGGGACGGCCGCAGGTAGGGCGGCGGGTAGGTCGCAGGTAGGGCGACGGGACGGCCGCAGGTAGGGCGGCGGACGGCCGCAGGTAGGGCGGCGGTCAGGCCGCAGCTAGGGCGGCGGGTAGGCCGCAGGTAGGGCGGCGAGTGGGCCGCAGGTAGGGCGGCGGGACGGCCGCACGCAGGGCGGCGGACGGCCGCAGGCAGGGCGGCGGGACGGCCGCAGGTAGGGAAGCGGCGGGGCAGCGTCGAGGAGGCGGCGGGGCCGCTTCGAGGAGGCGGCGGGGCCGCGTCGAGAAGGCGGTAGGGCCGCGTCGAGGAGGCGGCGGGGCCGCGTCGAGGAGGCGGCGGGGCCGCGTTGAGGAGGCGGCGGGGCCGCGTCGAGGAGGCGGCGGGGCCGCGAGGGGAAGAGCGACACGGAGGGTCGCGAGAAAAAAGAACGCGCGCCTCGGGGCGCGCTTCGGTGGGCCCTAGAGAACAGTCCCTAGGATGGGACCTGCTCTGATTCCATGTGAGAATAGAAACGTGAATGAATTGACTACGAGTGAGGTGAGTACAAATAGGAAACCCTAATTGGGTTGTACCCCCTATGGGATACCCCACTATAGCCTACACAAACAAGTAAGCTATAATGTTCTGACAATGGTGTCAGAGCGGTCTCGGGTTCGAATCCCGGTGTATGCACATGTAGGTCGTTGCCGCTGTGCTCAGTCCTGGGCCTCCCAGTGTGGGGGGGTGTTAGTAGATCTGCACTGTGGATGCCCGATTGATCCTACGGGGGGTTACAGGCGCGTTTGCCTGGGGGGTTATGGGCGCACTCTGACCCGCTACTTAAATAAGCCCTTTTATCCCAATGGTCTAGTGGTTGGGATTCTGACATGGTATCAGAGCGGTCTCGGGTTCGATTCCCGGTGTATGCACATGTAGGTCGTTGCCGCTGTGCTCAGTCCTGGGCCTCCCAGTGTGAGGGGGGTGTCAGTAGATCTGCACTGTGGATGCCCGATTGATCCTACGGGGGGTTACAGGCGCGTTTGCCTGGGGTGTTATGGGCGCACTCTGACCCGCTACTTAAATAAGCCCTTTTATCCCAATGGTCTAGTGGTTGGGATTCTTGTGAAATGAGTAAGCAGGAATGAAATGACTAAGGAAAGATTGGGTACAAATACAACCCTAGGAACCCTGTACCCCATATGTGCTACCCCACTATAGCCTACAGCAACTATGTCATATAAATCTGACACACCCCCATAGGCAAAGTGGGGGAGAACAAGGGGTCACAAGACCAGTCAAGCAAAGCAAAGCAAGCTCAGGGTGGATCACAAAGTCACCACACAGTCCGAGCACAAGAGTAGGGCCAGAGGCCAGTTCACATGCAGGAGTACAGACATATATATAAAACTAGACAAACAAGAGCAGGCATATATATATGTCACAGTACAAGTGAAGTCAAGAGGAGAGCAAGTGAGGCAAGACAAGCACAAGACCCAACTGGGTGCAAAAGCGCTGATGGTCACAAGGCGCGAGTGCCTTGGTGAACACATCAGCAGTGTTGGCCTCAGAGGCCACGTACGCAAGTCGCAACTGACCACGCTGCTGCAGCTCACGAGCAAGGAAGTAGCGGAGAGCAATGTGCTTCGTTCTGTGCTCCAAGCGCTGCTCTCGACACAAGGCCAGCATAGCCTTGTTGTCTACGAACAGCACTGGAGGAGAACGAGGCGGCTCTCCAAGGTCAGTCAGCAGGTAGGTGAGCCAGCGAAGCTCCTGTGCAGCCATGGCCCCGGCGTAGATCTCAGCCTCACAACTGGAGCCGAGAACCGAAGACGAGCGAGTAGACCGCCACGAGACAGAGCCGGAACCAAGGCTGAAGGTGTAACCCTGTGACGACCGCTGCGTAGCCTGGTCGTCAGCCCAAGAAGCGTCCGCGTGGCCGGTAAGGACCACTGGACTCCGCCCCTCCAAGCACTAGCCCCATGCCCGACGTACTGCACAGGTAGCGCAATACCCTCTTCGCTGCAGCCATGTGCTCCGGTCTGTGTCTCCCAGGAGCAACATAGCGTGCAAGAATGCTCAGAGGGTATGCAAGGTCAGGTCGTGTGCAGGTCATCAGGTACATGAGGCAGCCAACAAGCTCTGCATACGGACCACTCGACTCTACGGACTCATCCGAAGGCAGAGCTGAGAGTGAGTGGCGAGTAGGCAGAGGAGTGGCCTGAGGCGAGGAGTACGTGAAGTCGAAGCGCTAAAGGACCTGCTGCACCATGTGTGACTGAGTCAAGGTAATGGTGCGGCGTGCTCTGTCCCGAGTGATCTGCAAGCCAAGGTAGCTGCGCAGTTCACCCAGGTCTGTGCACGTGTGTCTCTTCAGCAGCTCGGACTTCACGTAGGCGAGTCCAGCAGTGTCTGCTGTGGCAAAGACCAAGTCGTCGACGTACACGAGGATGTAGAACGGCGGCAGGGAAGTGTCGGTGCGAAGAAACAGCGACGGGTCAGCAGTAGAAGGAGCAAACCCAAGAGCCGCAAGCGTAGTCCTCAGTGTGTCGTGCCACTCACGCGGTGCCTGGCGGAGACCGTAGACTGGCCGTCGGAGGCTCCACTGGGTGCCAGGAGGGAAAGTCCTAGTAAAGCCAGGTGGACGGCGAAGCCAGATCTCCTCGTGCAGGCTACCCTGCAAGAACGCAGTGCTGAAGTCGAGAGAGTGAAGCTCGTAGTCGCGCTGAGCGGCTATGTGCAGCAGCACGCGAAGAGTAGTCATCTTCGGGGTGGGAGAGAAGGTCTGAAAGTAGTCAACTCCCTGCCGCTGACTGAAGCCACGAGCAACGTACCGTGCCTTGAAGACAGGTGGAGAGCCCGGCGGCCGCTTCACCCTGAAGATCCACATGCCACTGACGATGTTCGCCCCAGGAGGGGGAACCGCGTCAACGTAGGTGCCTGTGGACTTCCAGGAAGCCATCTCTGCATCCATAGCTGCCTGCCACTGAGAGGAGTAGGGACCCTCTACGGCCTCCGCGTAAGAACGCGGAGTCGGGATGTCTAGTGCATCCGGGTCTCCCTCAGGGGCAAGCAGTACAGACGCGAGATGAGGTGAAGCAGCCGCTAGACACTGTAACTCCTCCTGCCTGTCCTCTAGGACGTCCGTGCTAAGAGCACACTCACCCCCGACGGACGGAGGACAGACAGACGCAGACTCAGCAACAAGACTAGCAGCGTAGTCGAGACGACAGCGAGCAGCAAAGTCGACGAGCTCAGCGACTAGAGCAGACGCAGCAGTGGACTCAAAAGAGGGGTCAGTGACGACAGTAGCAAGCAGACGCGTGACAGTAGGACTGGCAGCACGAAGAGAGTCCGACTCAGGGTCGGCAAGCGCAGGAAGAGAGGACTCAGCAGGAGAAGGCAAAGGGGCACGCAGAGGAGCAGTGGACGGACGCAAAGACATCCGGTGCGTGCCAGGGACAGGAGGAGGACGCTGACGCGAACTGCGACCACTAGCGCGAGCAGCACGAACAGGCGACGCGGGACGAGACGCAGGCTTACGACGCTCAGCAAGACCTCCAGTAGGACCAGTGTAAGGAGAGGGAGCAGGCAGTGGAGAGGAAGGCTCCAGCAGGGACTGCGACTGGACAGGCGGTGGACCCTCTACCGGAGGAGAAAGACCAAGAACCTGCTGCAAGAGCGGAACGAAGTACGGCCGAGGCCGCGCGGCAGCTCCAGACGCAGCAGGGTCTGCACCAGCACCCTCAGCGACAGCACCAGCGCCACCCACACCTCCAGTGGCAGGACCAACAGCAGTAGGCTCAGCACCAGCTCCCTCAGCAGCTCCAGCTCCAGGAGGACCCGCAGGTCCAGCAGCTCCGGGACCGGCAGCACCCGCACCCACGACGGTCGAAGAAGCTCCAGCTCCAGCTCCAGCAGCACCTCCAGACTCAGCAGCACGCCTCTAGCGGCCAGCGAACCACTCGCGCAGCTCCTGTGGAGAGAGGGGCTCCCGGCGAGACGCAGCAGCAGGAGAAACCCCAGGCTCAGCAGCTCCAGACGCAGCACCCCCAGGCTCAGCAGCTCCCAGCTCAGCACCTCCAGGCTCAGTAGCTCCCGACCCAGCACCCCCAGACCCCGCACCCCCAGGCACAGCACCCCCCGGCTCAGCACCCCCAGGCTCCGCACCCTCCGCAGTAGCACCCTCAGGCCCAGCACCCCCAGCAGTAGCACCCCCAGGCTCAGCACCCCCGCGCACAGCACCCCCAGAGTCAGCACCCCCAGGCTCAGCACCCGCAGCAGCACCAGAGTCACCAGTAACCTCGACCGGGTCAACGGCGTCTACCTGGGACACACCTGAGGGGGCAGGAAGCTGAGGGGGGAGGGGGTCTACCGGGGGGGGAACCGGCACAAGGAAGTCCGGGGGAGGGGGGAGGGAAGGAGTGCGGTAGGGGAAGAGACGGTAGAAGGGGACTGACTCGTCGAACGTGACGTCCTGGGAGGACAGAACACGACGAGAGGAGGGGTGGTAAAACTGCCACCCTGGGGCGTCAGTGGGGAAGCCAAGGAAGACACAGGGAGCAGCACGAGGGGACATCTTGTCCGCAGACAAGTCGCGGACAAACGCCCGAGATCCCCAGACACGGAACACAGACGCATCGCCAACCTTCCCCGTCCACAGCAAGGCTGGGGACATCGCAGGCCGAGAGACCCGGGGGTGAAGGTTGAGCTGATGCGCCGCGTACCTCACTGCAAACGGCCACAGAAAATGGGGGGCAGCCGCATGCATCATGGACGTACGAGCGACATCCATGACCATGCCAATGCGGCGCTCAGCAATCCCATTTTGCTGTGGTGAGTCCGGAAGCGTGAAGGTCTGGCGGATCCCCCGTGCACGACAGTAGTCCCGCAGAAGGCGAGAAGAGAACTCTCCGCCTCTGTCCGAGTGCAGACGCAGAACACGAAAGTCCGAGCCGAAGCTCTTCCTGAGCTGGAGACGAGCCTCGCGGATCTAGTCAATCAGCACCTCAGTGACCGCACCCTTGCTGCGCAAGGGGAGGACTGTGGTGTAACGCGAGTAGTCGTCAACCACCAACAGGAAGTAGCGCTCGTAACCCTGCCCACGGACGGGGGCTGGGCCCCACACATCCATGTGAAGCGTCTGCAGAGGAGCCTCTGTCGGGGGGAAGTGGGAGGAGTGAGGAGTAGCCCGGAGGCGACCCTCGACACAGGGGACACAGGAAGGTCCTGGCCCGGAGGGGAGAGGAGGGAGAGACTGGGGAAGACCAGAGACAAGGACACGGGAAGCCATGCTCCGAAGAAGGGGCAAGGAGGGGTGGCCAAGACGGTGGTGCCACAGGAGAGTCTCGTGAGACAGGAGGCGACATGGAGGGTCGCTGGAGAGCGGAAAAAAAAAAAAGTTGAGCGCGCCTCGGGGCGCGCTTCGGTGGGCCCTAGGCAGAGTTCCACAGGGAACCCGCTCTATACCATGTGAAATGAGTAAGCAGGAATGAAATGACTAAGGAAAGATTGGGTACAAATACAACCCTAGGAACCCTGTACCCCATATGTGCTACCCCACTATAGCCTACAGCAACTATGTCATATAAATCTGACAATTCTGACATGGTATCAGAGCGGTCTCGGGTTCGATTCCCGGTGTATGCATATATAGGCCGTTGCCGCTGTGCTCAGTCCTGGGCCTCCCAGTGTGGGGGGGTGTCAGTAGATCTGCACTGTGGATGCCCGATTGATCCTGGAGAGGGTTACAGGCGCGTTCGCTTGGGGGGTTATGGGCGCACTCTGACCCGCTACTTAATAAGCCCTTTTATCCCAGTGGTCTAGTGGTTGGGATTCTGACAACACCGTCGTCGAGTAGACCGTTGAATTCGGAGAAACACCGCCAGCTGCCACAAGTTCTTCAGTCCCGACATTTTCGGCAGAGTAACTGTCGCCGATGGTTCGTTTTTGTCGGGGCCAAAAAGTGCCGCACCACGAAATGTTTCTTGCACGCCTTGCTGTCGAACCAGCGCCACCCACGCCTTTCTAACCAGCACAGGGCTGAAACACAGGGCCCCACTTTATTCGTCCAGGACCAACAGGTCTTATAACGCCTTCGAGGTACCTGGTGTGAGGTATGTGAAACGTCGTAAGACTTTGGCCGATAGGGAGCTCGTTCTGCTATCGCCGCTTAGCCGCGAAACCCGGCCTCAGCAAAAATTCTTCTCTGTAGGTCGTTTTCTCGCCTCCTGAAGTCGGAACCCGTTTCTCTCGCCGGACCCGTATTAGTCGCAACTCCGTTTATTGTAGCCGGTAGAACCCCCGAAAATCGCGGGTCTAAACACTGCGCCGAATCGTTGTTCCGTGGTGTACTGGGTTGTCTGCAAACACCGGTACCTCTGGCCGGAGGGAACTTGTGCCGCCTGAAGCGGCTGTCACTCTTGCTTCCGAAGATTCCGCCGATTATCATTGTGCCAGAAACAGTAGTCACCCAAGCCGGAACAGTCTGGTCGTAGGCGGCCTTTTCCGAACTTTTCGGTGGTTTGAAGAACAACTTCCGTCCCACACTGTGCCGCTCTGCCGAAAAAACGCCCACGACGCACCCCAATCGGGTGGGACGACGGTAGACCCCCGCTTTCTTCCGGCAGTCGCCACGCCGTCGTCGGTTTTTCTGACGCAAATCACACATTGCGCCTGGCTGCTCAACAATCAGTCGTTTCCACGTGCTGCTACTCCGAAATCTTCGCGCACAGTGACGTCGCGTGTCACTTGCCGAAGACGTTCAACAGCTTGTGCGCAACGTGACGAAGACGCCACAACGCCACTTGCCGCACACAGCTGTTCCGAAATTGTCGCGCGCAGTTGTCGATCACGAGCCGACGCAACTCGCTTCACGTCTTGCTTCTGACATCTTCGGATGTGCACTGACAGAGATCCTGTCGACGTCAGCTGCCACACAAATTAACTTCGAAAACGCCGAAACGTACACTGCTAACTCACGCATTTCAAGTGACGACAGAAAAAGCTGTCTGCCATCCGGGGGGAGGGAGGCCATGGTCCATCTCGACTGTCGAGGGCAAGGATCCGTCGGTGGCGCAGGGGCGCCTATAAAAACATGGCTGCTAGGAGCAGTTCTCCTGGCCGGCTTCTGCGCTGCTCCTATCACAACGGCATCCTTCCCTGTCCCCCCCCTCGAGGGGTAATACACTCTAAAAAACGGGAAGCTAGGAAAGTAGCTCTGATACCAAGTGTTATGAGTTTTACCAAACAGAGTGCGCGAAAGACTTCTATAAAGAGAACGTGATTACAGAATTACTGAATTATCAAGAATGATAAAGGAGCACGCATTTATAGGGTCGAAACCGTGCTACGCAAGGACCTCGGGACGTGGTGTCAGAATCCCAACCACTAGACCATTGGGATAAAAGGGCTTGTTTCAGTAGCGGGTCAGTGCGCCCATAACCCCCCAGGCGAACGCGCCTGTAACCCTCTCCAGGATCAATCGGGCATCCACAGTGCAGATCTACTGACACGTGGATGGGTTGGATGTGTCGCGGTTGTTGCGGGGCGACTCGGCATTGGTTAGGTGCGGAAGTGTAGGCCGAGCCACCTGACGCGAAGTGCTCGGGCTGTACCCGTTAAGGCAAGGCTACAGTAAGGAATTGGCAAATTCCTTACAAAACTCATCACAAACAGATGTAATGTAAGGGCGTGTCCAGCGCATACACTTTCGGATTTTAACACAATTTTGACGTATTTCGGATCACGCGCAGAAATGGTACTGCCAGGTGTACCTTAAAGGCCACACCCCAAATTACACAACGAAGGCAACGAAAAATTAGTAGGTTCAGGAAACCCCTGAGACAGGTTCGATGGGGAAATCGAGAACCAATCGCGTCAAAAACCCACTCAAAACCCTCGACCAATCACACGAAAGTGGTGACAGTTTTGGGGCCGACACGGTAATTCTGGATGTGTCCTTTAAAAGTCCTGGGTCCAAAAAACAGCGGGAAGACACAATTCGCCTCTCAGCGCAACTGGAACAGCAAGTTGCGCGTCAGTGGCGGCAGAACTACTCTGTAACCAGAAGGGTTGGAAATTGCCCCCTTGAATTTCGCGAGATTCAAAGTGGCCTGGCGAAGTTTGGGGATGGACCTCGCTGAATGTGGAACTGTTGAGATTCAGACTCGTACATTCCAAAATATGGTGCCAGTTACGTGCGTTGCGCGTCATGTTCACGAGTCGACGGACGTGTGTGATATTTCCATGATTTACGTTCTAGGGGTGTACGATGTCAGAAAATTATGCAAAACTGTGGTTACATTCAAAAATGTGGTAACTGTTGTGGCACAGTACGCGCTGGACACGCCCTTACCAAACAAACAAACCATTGGCGCAACACTCATCACTGCCTCTCGTTGAAGCCAATGGGCTATTGGCGGATCTTGGAACTTTGCCCCCTGGGCAGTGGGCAGATAACATGACCCCTGCCTTGCCCCACGCCCACGCGACTGGCTGCACTAGAAATTGCCTCTGAGGTCTTTCTTACGGTGTCGTGCTTTATTAGCAAGTCTCAAATTGGTGGAGCGCGTTATGGTGCGGCAAATGTCTTGCAAAACGCGACTCGATGTGGGTTGCAGATATTTCACGATATGCAGTTCGGTATGAATGCTTTACAGTACGGCACTGGTGGTTTGATTTCCGTAAAGCATGTGGGTGCGACTCGCTATGGGCTTATTGCGCCAGCCAAGCCTACCAGCAATTTCGAAACCAAGTCGTTTCAGGAGCAAATGTGGTTCACCTTCGCTAGAACCCTTCCACAAACGCAAAGAATTGTAAAAGAGCCGCTCTGATATGCACATTATCGCTCTTCACCGCATTGCAGTAAACTCATACGCCACACCCCAGGGAGAGGTATTTATTAGACACATTTCTCAACTCCTACCAGAAACAACCACCATCCTCCTCTCTGGAAGTCTAGTAACTTGCCTGCTCAGCGTTCCATTACTACTACTATCTCCAGCACAAATATGGCTTTCCCCAGCAGCTTCTCCGTAATCCTCGCGCTCATCCGCATGGTCCTGCATGCCGCAGATGCAACCAGCATGCCTGCTGGCGGATGCCACACTCGCTACGTGTGCCCCTACATCGACGACCTCGCCACGGCAACAATCACGGATACCACTTACACCGACTACACTTTCATCGGCGATTACCAGGGGCTGTTCAACGACCAGGGAGGGCAGTTCGAGCCACACCAGCGCGGATCTGGTCCCGTCAATTACGAGCGGTACACGGAGGTGGGGACCATTTTCGACGTGGTGAAGGGCGTGTACGGTGACACGCTGCAGGAGTGCTGCCGCGCATGCGCGCGCTCAACCTACTGCTACGAGTGGCATTGGCTTAAGAAGTAAGTGCGGGTTGAGTTTTTTTTTTCTATCATTCGCGCAAAAACTGAAGTTTTTACATCTGTGTCGCTGATTTCGAAGAGTGCAGCGCGCGGCGCGCTAAGTGACTTACTGTCAGAATGTTATCTTATGCTCTAGCCTGTAGTGGGGTGCTCTATAGCGAGTACAACCCTTCTAGGGTTTGCTATTTGTATCCCCATTCTTGCTAGTGCAACCCTCTCTTCTCTCTTCTAACTTTCACATGCTATCAGAGCAGGTCGATCCCCTTGGATCGATCCTGTGGGTGGGCTTACCACCTCGTTGCTTCCGCTGCAACTACTACTGCTACTCTGTGTGCCGCACGCCCCGTGGCCTGCGGTGCGGTTTTCTGCCCGCCGTGCGCCCCGAGGCGCGCGGCGGTTCTCTGCCCGCTGTGCGCCCCGAGGCGCGCGGCGGGGTTCTGCCCCGTCGTTCGCCGCGTCGCCCTTTGGAGGTGCCGCGACGGGCGACGGGGACCCGTCTCGGCGCACCGAGGGCACGTGCACCGGCCCCGTCGCCCTACCGTCGACCCGGCCCCGTCGCCCTACCTGCGCACCGGCCCCGTCGCCCTACCGTCGACCCGGCCCCGTCGCCCTACCTACGGCCCGGCCCCGGCCCCGTTGCCCGCCGTGCGCCCCGAGGCGCGCGGCGGTTTCCTGCTTCGCGCGGCGGTTTTCTGCCCGCCATGCGCTCGGAATGCGTGGCGGTTTCCTGCCCACCGCGCACCCTGGGCGCACGCGGCGGTTTCGCGTTCCGTCGACCCGCGCGCCCGTCCCCGTCCACCCGCGCACGGCTCCCCGTCACCCTTCGCGGCGGCCCCGTCGACCCGCACGCGGCTCCTCGTCGCCCTTCGCGGCGGCCCTGTCGACCCGCGCGCCGCCCTTGGGGACTCGTGCACCCGTCCCCGTCGGCCCGCGCGTCGCCCTGCGGCCCCCCTCCCCGCACACCTGAGTTCGATTACCGCACATCCGAGTTCAATTCCCGCACGCTTGTGCACGCTTCACGCACACCTCAGCTCGCTTACCGCACACTCAGTGTATGGGGGTGACGGGTATGGGGGTGATGGTTGTGGGGGTGTCGGTTGTGCGTGCCGTCCCCTTCTCCTCCTCCTCCTTCGTCTCCCACTGCTGCAGCTGTCGCTGAGGGGGGTGGATGTGTGGGAGTCTGGGGTTTAGGGTTTAAGGGGGGTGCGTGTGAGTGGAGCTAGCGGTGTAGCAGCGGGTGCGTGCCAGGGGGAGTGGGATAGTGTGGGGAAGCTGTATGGAGGTTGCCGTCGTGTCGCCAGCAGCACCTGTATTCCGGGGAGTTGCTCCGGTAGCCCAGTCGTAGCCAGCTGTGCCAGCCGCCCGTGGGTCCGTTGCTCGTCTGCCGCTACTTAAGCCGCGGGGCTAGTTACTCCAGTATTCCGGGGCGTTGTTCCGGTAGCCGCTGTGCCAGTGTGCCTCCTGTTGCCCGTGTGTCTGCAGCTTAAGCCGTCGCCTCCTATCTCCTCTCCCCTCACTCTCTCTCCTCCTCCTCACTTGCCCGTTGTGACTACCACTAGCTTTGCTCATAATTGTGAACCTTAAACTATTGCTTCTTGAACTTGTGCTCAGAATGTGTGGTGACATTGTGATCCACCCTGAGCTTGTACTGCTTTGCTTGCTATGCTGATTACACCCCACTTTGGCTATGGGGGTGTGTCAGAATGTTATCTTATGCTCTAGCCTGTAGTGGGATGCTCTATAGCGAGTACAACCCTTCTAGGGTTTGCTATTTGTATCCCCATTCTTGCTAGTGCAACCCTCTCTTCTCTCTTCTAACTTTGACACTTACCCCTTCTCCTCCTTCGATCCTCTCTTCCTCTCTTCCTCCCCCAGCCCGCGTCTCGCCGGCGAGAACGCGAATGTGCAGTGCTACCTGCTGGAGAAGAACGGCGGCTTGGGCACGTCGGGCTCTTTCAAGACGCCGTACGCGGGCGACGCGGCCACGCAGGTTGCGAACTCAGCGTCGTACCCGCTGAGCTTCGTCGAGGGGCTCTGCAACGGCACGGCGCTTGTCAAAAACGATTTGCATCTCACGGGCGCGCACGGCACGCACTACGATTTCACCGGCCGCCTTGGCAAATCGTTCTGCCTCTTCTCCGACCGTCGATTCCACGTCAACATGCACCTGAATGTATATCAAGGCGCACCTCCCGCGCTTCCCGCGTCATTGAAGTCGAGTGAGTCGAGCACAGAGCTGCACACGTGGATTAAGGAGGTCGGCGTGGTCTGGATGACGCCCGACGGCGCGAACTACACGCTGCGCATGGTTGCGCGCAAGGGCAAGCAGCAGGAGCGCGGGGAAAACGGCTTTATCTCGCTGATCGAGGCGGACGGCGCGACGACGGAGATTCCAAGCGTTTGGCGAGTGGATCGATACAGAAAGCAGGCTGGTGGTTACCAAAGTCGCGGAGGAGAAGGAGGGGCCGTTCGACGTGGATCAGTTCCAGGTGCGCGTGGCGGGGCTGGGGGAACTGGACGTGCGCGTGCGTGTGGCGCACCCGCTGCTGTAGACGCCGACCGAGGCGGAGGCGCACTTCAACGTGGAGCTTTCCGACGTGGCGATAACGTCAGCCGTGCACGGCGTGCTGGGGCAGACGTTTAGGACCACGCCGGAGCAGTTGCAGCGCGCGGTGAAGTACTCGCACTTGGCGGCGCTGCTCCACCACCCGGTGGACGTGGATAAGGCGGAGGGCAAGGGGTTCCAGGACGGCGATGTGGAGGATTACATCTCCTCGTCCATCGTCGCGCCGGATTGCAAGTACGCCAGCTACGCCTCCGGCTCTGCATAAGGAGGGTCACCACCTGTGACGCCACGTGTGGAGGCTTAACCGCGGGTGGCTTCGCGCAGACGTAGCGAGTCAAGTGATGGTAGATTTGGATGAGCAAAATTGGCGGCTTGGTTATCGAAAGTTACCTTGGCTGAGTGAGAAACTGGTCTTGGAAGGGAAGGGCGGAACTGGGCGCTGCTGTTGCTGTGCACCTAGCCTACTTCTTCCTACAAGGCTAATAAGGGCTGCGACCTACTATGTGTATTCGTCCCGATTGAGTAATGTGACTGTCAAAAGCCTTTTATTTGGAAGCGCAAACATCGCACGGTGAAATGGGTACGCAGGCAAACTCCGGAAGGTGTGTCGCGAGAGATGCGGCGAGAAATTCGGTGCTGCGAAAATGCAGGCAATACCGTACTGAATACAAGAGTTGAGAACAGAGCCAAACCAATTATCTGCCTAATGTTTGCGAAAACCAACCTGCGACGCGACAATTCGGAAACTTTCGCGCGTCGGATGTTAGTTGGAGGGAGCATTTTGGTTGTGTTACCGTTGCGACGTGCCACTACCGTTGTCGTGTAACCCCATTCGAAACAAAACGAGCGTGCTGTACATGTACGTGTCACTGAAATTACATGCACTGCGTTTTTTGTGCGGCACCAATAATGCGTACAGAACAGCGCCTTAGGGTTACACTAGCCTGAATGAAATTGCTGCGAAACGAACACATTTCGTTACGAGGTTTGTACGGTTTAGAGGGTACAAACACTTCGCATATATCATCAATATCCTTTTTGCCGCCTAACCGCCATGGCGCCGCCACTCGCTCTTCTCGCCTCGCTGCTACTACTTCTCCAGTTGACCGGCCTTTCGTTTCCGCCATTCGCGGCGGCTGAACCGAGAAGCGGCGGGACGATGACGGTGGGGGTGGTGGGAGATACGAACCAGATGGAGCGAATAGCATTGCTGCATAAGGCACGTTGGGGCGTGTGGCACGGTTATCCGCACACGCTGTCCTTAGGCACACAGGCGGCGGTCGCACACACCATGCCTTTGCTTGCGCTGCACCTTCCGCAACCTTTCCTTCCACGCTTTCCTTCCTTCTGCCTTTCCCTGCCCGCGCCTTCCGCTTCCCGCGCCCCCGCCCTGCCCTCGCCTCGCCTTCCCCTGCCCTCCCATTCCCCGGCCCCGCGCCTACCCCTGCCCGCGCCTCCCCTTCCCGCGCCTCCCCTGCCCGCCCCTCCCCCTTCCCGCGCCTTCCCTGGCCATCGCCTTCCCCTGCCCGCGCCTCCCCCTTACCGCACCTTCCTCTGCCCGCGCCTACCCCTTCCCTTCCCCTGCTTTCCCCTGCCCTCCACCTTCCCCAAATATCTTCTTCCATCTCACTGTCCTCACCTTCCCCTGCCCTCACCTTCCCCTGCCCTCACCTTCCCCTGCCCTCATCTTCCCCTGCCTGCCCTCACTGCGCTCATCTTATCGTGCCCTCGCCGTTTTCTCGCCTGGGATCCAGCTCTCTTCTGCAGCCCAAAGCCCACCGCTCTTCCACTGGAACCTCCCTGAATATAATTCTCCGTGTCATTGTCCGCATCTCTCCCTGCCCACATGCACGCATGGCAGTCAGCTTATGGCCTGGGTTCCTCCTCTCTGCTGCCGCCCAAAACCATCTCCCTCCCTCCCGTGCAACCTCCCTCATATGGCAACCCTATCGATCTCACCCTCCCCATTTTCCCCTACCCACCTCTGTGCCCCTGCCTACTTGTGCCTTCCTTCCCGCATGGCACATGCACGCATGGCAGTCAGCCTACGGGCTGGACTCGCCCTCTCTGCTGCCGCCCAATTCCGTCTCTCTTCCACAGGGACCTCCCCAACCCGAAATATCTTACTCCATCTCATGGTCCCCATCTCCCCCTGCCCACATGCAGGCATGGCAGTCAGCCTACGGGCTGGACTCGTCCTCGCTGCTGCCGCCCAAGACCATTTCCCTCGCACGCAACCTCCCGCCGCCCGCCCACCTCGAGGACTGCACCGCCCGCACGTCCGCCAGACAGGGCGCCGAGAGGGCCGGGGCGGCGTGGGCGGTGCCGGGCGGCAACGGCTCGTCCTGTTGTGGATGCTCGCCGCAACCACCATGGGTGGGTGGGCGGTCGGGTGGGTGGGTGGGGGTGGTTGGCATGGTGCCCAATCGAAATGGTCGTAGGAATAGTAGAGGGTCTGAATGGTTAAGCTGGTCTCGATTTTGGGTTTAATGTTTAGAGTTTAGGGTTGAAGGAAGGTGTGTGAGGTGTGCGGGCCTATATTCCCCTCCCCCAGACGTACGGGCCTCATGGATAGAAGCAGCCAGTGAGTGAGATAGCTGGGCAGCTCCCCTCTTCCCTCTCCCCCATATTCCCCACCTTCCCCCGGCCCCCCCCCTTCCCTCCCTGCCCTTCCTCCACTTTATCCTCCCCTCCGCCAGGTGTGCGGCCCTGACGACAGCAGCCTAGCGATGGCGCGCGCAGTGCAGTGGGACACAGCAACCTTCCCCCCGGGGCTCCTTTGACGCCAGGCGCCTGCTCATTGTGCTGTGCTGTTGTTGCTCCCCCTCCATTCCTCCACGCCCCGCTCCCAGGTGTATGGCCCTGACGACAGCAGTCTAGCCCTCACGCGCACGGTGCAGCGGGACATCTGGCTCTCGCAGTTCCCTCCTGGCTCCTGCGATGGAAGGCACCTGCTCATTGTGCCCTGGGTGCTGCCAGCCACTGCTGCCGCAGGGCTGGGCACAGGGGCAGGAGGAGGAGGAGGAGTGGAGGCGGGGGAGAGCGGTTCAGATGGGCTGGGAGGTTTGGAGGGGCTGGGTCTGCAGGTGCATGTGATGGGTGCGCTGCTGGGGTTGGCGGTGGAGACAGGGCGCGTGCTGGTCCCACTCTCAGGCTCCTTCAGCTATGCCAACAACTCTGCATGTAAAGGTGCGTGCGATTTGATCTGAGCTGATCTGATGCACATTCATTGTTGCAAGGGGGGAAGAAGCAGGTGCATGTGATGGGTGTGGGTGGAGACGGGGCGAGTGCTGGTCCCAGTATCCGGCTCCTTTAGCTCTCTTCAGCATGTAAAGCTGCGTTGCATCTCTGGTTCACTTGGCACTCTTTGGTGGCATGGAATGTAATGGGAGCACTGCTGCAGACTGGTGCTGAAAGTTTGGCATGCGCACGCACGTGCATCGCATGCGTTGCATGTGATGGAGAGTACATGCGCGCACTCTCCTCACATCACCTCCTTTTCCCCCCTTCATAACCATCTCCCCACTTCCCCCTCGTCCCCCTCCCTCCCTTCCTCCTATCCTCCCTCCCTCCCTCCATCCCCCCTCCAATGATCCTCTCCCCTTCCATCCGTCCGTCCAGACACGGGCCAGCAGGACTATGGGGGGTGCTTCTTCTACTTCCTTTCCCTCTTCAATCCAACCATATCTCATTTCCCCTATTTCTCTCCTCTTTCCTGCTCGCCCACCTCGTTCCCTTCCCTTTCTCCCTCCCTCCCATCCCAGCCTCCATCCATCCATCCATCCATCCACCCACCCATCCATCCGTCCATCCATCCATCCATCCATCCATCCATCCATCCATCCATCCATCCATCCATCCATCCATCCATCCATCCATCCATCCATCCATCCATCCATCCATCCATCCATCCATCCATCCATCCATCCATCCATCCATCCATCCATCCATCCATCCATCCATCCATCCATCCATCCGCCCATCCATCCGCCCATCCATCCATCCATCCATCCATCCATCCATCCATCCATCCATCCATCCATCCATCCATCCATCCATCCATCCATCCATCCATCCATCCATCCATCCATCCATCCATCCATCCATCCATCCATCCATCCATCGATCCATCCATCGATCCATCCATCCATCCGCCCATCCATCCGCCCATCCATCCGCCCATCCATCCATCCATCCACCCACCCATCCATCCGTCCATCCATCCATCCATCCATCCATCCATCCATCCATCCATCCATCCATCCATCCATCCATCCATCCATCCATCCATCCATCCATCCATCCATCCATCCATCCATCCATCCATCCATCCATCCATCCGCCCATCCATCCGCCCATCCATCCATCCATCCATCCATCCATCCATCCATCCATCCATCCATCCATCCATCCATCCATCCATCCATCCATCCATCCATCCATCCATCCATCCATCCATCCATCCATCCATCCATCCATCCATCCATCCATCCATCCATCGATCCATCCATCGATCCATCCATCCATCCGCCCATCCATCCGCCCATCCATCCGCCCATCCATCCGCCCATCCATCCATCCATCCATCCATCCATCCATCCATCCATCCATCCATCCATCCATCCATCCATCCATCCATCCATCCATCCATCCATCCATCCATCCATCCATCCATCCATCCATCCATCCATCCATCCATCCATCCATCCATCCATCCATCCATCCATCCATCCATCCATCCGCCCATCCATCCGCCCATCCATCCGCCCATCCATCCATCCATCCATCCATCCATCCATCCATCCATCCATCCATCCATCCATCCATCCATCCATCCATCCATCCATCCATCCATCCATCCATCCATCCATCCATCCATCCATCCATCCATCCATCCATCCATCCATCCATCCATCCATCCATCCTAGCATCCATCCATCCATCCATCCATCCATCCATCCATCCATCCATCCATCCATCCATCCATCCATCCATCCATCCATCCATCCATCCATCCATCCATCCATCCATCCATCCATCCATCCATCCATCCATCCATCCATCCATCCATCCATCCATCCGTCCATCCATCCATCCGCCCATCCATCCGCCCATCCATCCATCCATCCATCCATCCATCCATCCATCCATCCATCCATCCATCCATCCATCCATCCATCCATCCATCCATCCATCCATCCATCCATCCATCCATCCATCCATCCATCCATCCATCCATCCATCCATCCGCCATCCATCCATCCATCCATCCATCCATCCATCCATCCATCCATCCATCCATCCATCCATCCATCCATCCATCCATCCATCCATCCATCCATCCATCCATCCATCCATCCATCCATCCATCCATCCATCCATCCATCCATCCATCCATCCATCCATCCATCCATCCATCCATCCATCCATCCATCCGCCCATCCATCCATCCATCCATCCATCCAGCCATAGCCCAGGAGAGTCAGTGGGGTTGTTTCCTCTCCCCCATCCCCACCTTTTGGTTTTGCTTCTCAGTTCTTTCTTTCCCACAATTCATCCCCCTGCCCCCTCATCCCATCCCGCCTCCATCCAACCAGCCATGGGCCAGCAGGGCCAGTGGGGGTGCTACTTCTCCCCCATCGCCTCCTCTGACTGCTCCAAGCGCGCACAGAAGGAGATGCAGAGCGGTTCACTGCGGTCGCGGTGCAGCGGCAAGCACATTCGCAACGTGGCACTCTCAGCAGAGCCCATAGTCTGCCTGCACCCCGACTTTGACCACAACGAACTCAAGCTGCACGCTGCTGTTGCCACGTAGGTGTATCTGTGTGTGTGCGTGTGTGCGTGCGTGCGTGCGTGCGTGCGTGTGTGTGTGACACAACGAGCTCAAGCCGCATGCTGCTGTCGTCACGTGGGTTCTGTTTTTAGTTCTGTTTTTTTTTTCCCCTTTTTTTGTTCTGCTTTGTGCTCTATTTTTTCGTATCGTTTGTGTCTAATTTATGAATGTGCTGTTTCCTCTCTTTCAGGAGCCCATACTCTGTCTACGCGCTGACTTTGACCACAACCAACTAAAACTGCACGCTGTTGCCAACAGCCGCCTTTCTGATTCGTGTCACTCCCTCCCACTCACCTGTCCCTTGCTCCACAGCAAATGGGGAGCACCTCACCTGCAGCGTCCAGATACACTGTACCGCCCAACATGCCGGCCCCCCACTCCTGACAACCCCTCTCTCTCCGTGTCTCAGGTGTGTGTGTGCTTGTAACCACACTGTATCGAACCACGCTGTATGTAACCACACTGTATCGAACCACGCTGTATGTAACCACACTGTATCGAACCACGCTGTATGTAACCACACTGTATCGAACCACGCTGTATGTAACCACACTGTATCGAACCACGCTGTATGTAACCACACTGTATCGAACCACGCTGTATGTAACCACTCTGTATGCAACCACTCTGAATGCAACCACTCTGTATGCTTGTAATCATGCTGTATCCTTGTAACACGCTGTATGCTTGTAATTATGCTGTATCCTTGTAACACGCCGTATGCTTGTAACCACACAGTATGCTTGTAACCACTCTACATGCTTGTTGTAACCACACTGTATGCTTGTAACCACGCTGTATGGTTGCACTGTATGCATGTCAATCATATGCCACTCGTCATCCCTCTGCTTTCGCACCTTTCCTCCCTTGTTTCCTGTCCTCACCTGCTTCTCATCCCATTGCATTCCATCCCATCCCACTCCACCGCACTCCACCCCACCGCACTCCACCCCACCGCACTCCACCGCTATCCACCGCTCCCCACCGCCTCAGGTGCGTTGGTGGCGAGCCCAGGCCACGCGGTTCCTCATGCGCTGGCCCTCCCTGCACCTCTGCCACGTCACCAACCTCATCCGCCACGTCAGCATCAGCCACCACGTGGCTGCCAGGCTGGCATTCTTCGAGGACACGCAGGCGGAGATCATAAGAGACGTGGCTGCTGACACAGCAGGGGAAAGCGCCAGGTCAGATGTGAGGAAGAGCAAACAGGCCAAGGACCTGCAAGGCATGGAGTTGGGTAAGGGGGTGGAGATAGAGAGTGCAAGCAAAGCTTCTTGGGCCACTATAGGGGGAAGGTGCAGTGTGTGTGAGGAGGAAGGGTGGAAAGGGGATTTGATGGGAGAGGATGGGGAGGTGGGAGAGAGTTGGGATATGCAAGCAGGGGTGAGTAGTGGTAATGTGAAGAAGGCGGGGTTGGAGAAGAAAGAGAAGCACGTGCTGTACTATGTGCAGAAGCACAACAACCTCGTCGTTGGCGTGGGTCGAGAGCCGTACGTCATGCGGCCGCTGGCGAGTCTGGTTCTAGGGGGTACGTCTGGAGAGGGGAATGGAGAGGGGAAGGGAGCATCAAGGGGGGACGGAGGAAGAGAGGTGGGGACGGAGGTGGAAGGGAGGAGACTAGAGGAGGAAGGGGATGAGGGAGTGGAGGGGGAGGGCGGTGCAGAGGGGAAAGGTGGAGAAGAGGGGAAAGGTGGAGAAGAGGGGAAAGGTGGAGAAGAGGGGAAAGGTGGAGAAGAGGGGAAAGGTGGAGAAGAGGGGAAAGGTGGAGAAGAGGTGAACGGTGGAGAAGAGGTGAAGGCTGAAGGAGCAGGAGCAGGAGGGGCAGGAGGAGGGGGAGGGGGCAGTGAGAGTGGCATGGTGAGTGCGCTCATGCATCAGGTGCATCAGCTGCGACTGGTGGAACCCCATCTGGCCCACGTGTGGCTGCACACGCCCTCTCAGGTGGGTCTTCTCCCAGGTGGGTCTTCTCCCAGGTGGGTCTTCTCCCAGGTGGGTCTTCTCCCAGGTGGGTCTTCTCCCAGGTGGATCTTCTCCCAGGTGGGTCTTCTCCCAGGTGGGTCTTCTCTCAGGTGGGTCTTCTCCCAGGTGGGTCTTCTCTCAGGTGGGTCTTCTCTCAGGTGGGTCTTCTCTCAGGTGGGTCTTCTCTCAGGTGGGTCTTCTCTCAGGTGAGCATGTCGGAGCACTGGTTTGCTCTACGTTGACTCCTTACGCTCGCTTCATTCACGAGTGCGTGCACTCCTGCTTTGCCCACTCGTCTTTCAATTCCTGCCACTGTCACCTGCCACTGTCACCTGCCATCACCTTCCCTCACCTGCCATCACCTTCCCTCACCTGCCATCACCTTCCCTCACCTGCCATCATCTTCCCTCACCTGCCATCACCTTCCCTCACCTGCCATCACCTTCCCTCACCTGCCATCACCTTCCCTCACCTGCCATCACCTTCCCTCACCTGCCATCACCTTCCCTCACCTGCCATCACCTTCCCTCACCTGCCATCACCTTCCCTCACCTGCCATCACCTTCCCTCACCTGCCATCACCTTCCCTCACCTGCCATCACCTTCCCTCACCTGCCATCACCTTCCCTCACCCGCCATCACCTTCTCTCACCTGCCATCACCTTCCCTCACCTGCCATCACCTTCCCTCACCTGCCATCACCTTCCCTCACCTGCCATCACCTTCCCTCACCTGCCATCACCTTCCCTCACCTGCCATCACCTTCCCTCACCTGCCATCAGCCTGCATGTTACAGCGACTCCACCTGCATGCCACTCCACCTGCACGCCACTCCACCTGCACGCCACTCCCAGTTCATCCCACTCCGCCGGCGCCGCCCCTCTCGCATCCACTCTACCTAATTGCTCGGCCCCTGCCCTGCTCCCCATCTCCACCCTACCATCCCCACTCTCCCATCCCCCGTCCCCTGTCTCACACCATGTATCCCCCGTCCCCTGTCTCACACCATGTATCCCCCGTCCCCTGTCTCACACCATTTATCCCCGTCCCCTGTCTCCCCTGTTGCTCAAAACATTTTCACCAGTCTCTAATAACCAAGGTATCCAACTACCGTGATTGGACGTTTCTCCATTCCACCAATCAGACAAGCCCTACGCCCACCGCACTCCAAGACTCAGGAGCAGCCGTGCCGACAGCAGAAGCAAGGGCGCTGGCAAGTCTGTTGGTGGCTTCTCAGGGCGATTTCTTTGTGGGCGGGCTCAGGTCGCACTGGGGAAGGCTGGTCAACGAGTTGCGCTCCACTAATGGCCGCCTCTTTAATGTTTTTGTCGCCATGGATGACGATGAATGGTGATACCGTAGTTGCCGGTAGTTGCGCACACAATTAACAGAGGTCCCATGGTTCACAATTCGGCTGTTGTCGCAATACCGTAATTTCCCGAATAAAAGACCTCCCAAAATTAGGAGACTTCTGGGTCTTCAGTACTTCATTATAACCCCCCTGAGGCGAACGCCTGCAGCAGGCGCTGCTGCACCAATCTCTGGAATCCAGAACCTTCCTTGTACCGGTACTGCTACCGTAGATGGTGTAGCTTCCTAAGTCTGGGAACCAGCCATGCAGATTGTGCCTGGTAAGAACAACCCTGGTGTTTTTTTGGAGTTTTTTTTTAGATTAACTGCCATAAGACAATGCAAGCACTAACCCACAAAGCATAACCCTCATAACCCTGCAGTGCAAACACCACAATTTGATCCCCATAAGCACACTATGGAAGAAACCCACAAAGCAAAAGCCCATAGGAATGCAAAATATATGTAGCATGAATCTTGCCGTAAAGTTGCTAAGTATCTGTTGCTCTGGACCAGGGCTGACGTTTCATATTAGGCCTCCCTGATTCCGGGGAAAAATTTTCCCCGCTATTATGAGTGCACATTTTTCAGAATAATGCTACTCTGATTGCTCAGGGTTGAAAAGTATATACGGTAACTCTGATTGTTCAGGGTCGAAAATCGAGGATCAGAGTAGTAACGCGCCCTTTGTTACAGGGGAAAAAGTTTCCCTCTGCGTAAAGTATGCGCTCTGTGTTTCGCGCACACTTTGAGCGCGCTAAGTTCCTCCTTTTTAGTGTTACGAAACGGTATTTATGCACACGTTGTAGTGGGGGGAAGAGATTTCGATTCGATACCTGAATGTGGCCAACATCGCTGTGCGAAACGCAAAATAGGTTCTGGAAACTTTACGCACACAAACTTACGACAGTGGAACAACTTATTCGCATCTCATGAAAATAACCAACATCGAGTGTACTCACCTGTCAGACATGCTGCTGTCCATCGCTCACGCGCTGGCTGTACTGCGATCAAACCGAAGGGGGATATCGGAAGGAAATTTCCAAGAACCTTCCTCTCGATAAGGTCAAAATCAGGGACCACAGATTCGATACCCTATTAAGTCAGGGTCAACTAACAGGCTAGTCTGTTACACTATACTCAAAATCAGGGATAGGAAAACTACTACTCTGATTTGAACAGGGTTGAGAACTCAGTAATTCTGAAATCTCAGTCTCCGCAAAGTGGAAAGTATGAAATCACCATGAAATCAGGGTAATTACCCTGATATCGTCAGCCCTGCTCTGGACTGGAGAATGCAACAACCAAGGAAGGCTTCATGCCGAGCATGCTAGGCTCGAGAAGGAAGTGCCGATACCCTGCGGAACCCATTTGCCCATTCGCCTGTGTTCTCTGCACCAGGATTTAAAGAGTGGAACAAGAGTATATGAAACGTAGTTTACTGGGGATAGAAATAGTTTTGCCGTTGTAGAGAGAGTGCATCGTGTTGAGATAGAGGCGAGGAATGGATGCACTATGAAATGAAACAAGTACAAGTACCAACCCTAATTGGGTTGTACCCCCTATGGGCTACCCCACTACAGCCTAAATATATGCATCAGTAATATAATCATCTGACACACCCCCATAGGCAAAGTGGGGGAGAGCAAGGGGTCACAAGACCAGTCAAGCAAAGCAAAGCAAAACAAAGCAAGCTCAAGGTGGATCTCAAGGATACCACACAAACTCCGAGCACAAGGTCAAGGCCACAAGGCCAGTTCACATGCAGCAGAGCATATATATATATCAGTGCTAAACAAGCAAGAGCAAGGATATATATATGCAGCAGTACAAGCAAGGTCAAGAGGTAAGCAAGTGAGGCCCAGTGGGCACAAGGCCTAGCAGAGTGCAAAAGCGCTGATGGTCACGAGGCGGAAGTGCCTTGGTGAACACATCAGCAGTGTTGGCCTCAGTGGCCACGAAACGCAGGCGAAGCTGACCACGCTGCTGCAGCTCTCGAGCAAGGAAGTAGCGCAGAGCAATGTGCTTCGTCCTGTGCTCCAGTCTGTGCTCCTCACACAAGGCAATGGTTGCCTTGTTGTCGACGTACAGCACTGGAGGAGAACGAGGCCGCTCTCCAAGGTCAGTCAGCAGGTAGGTGAGCCAGCGAAGCTCCTGGGCAGCCATGGCCGTGGCGTAGATCTCAGCCTCACAGCTGGAGCTGAGAACTGAAGAAGAGCGAGTAGAGCGCCAAGAGACAGAGCCAGAGCCAAGACTGAAGGTGTAACCTTGAGACGACCTCTCAGTAGCCTGGTCGTCAGCCCAAGAAGCGTCTGAGTGCCCAGTGAGCACAGGCCGCTCACGCCCTCCAAGCACTAGCCCCATGCCCGACGTACTGCACAAGTAGCGCAACATCCTCTTAGCTGCATCCATGTGCTCCTTCCGGTGACGGCCGGGAGCAACATAGCGTGCTAAGATGCTGAGAGGGTATGCGAGGTCAGGTCGAGTGCAAGTCATCAGGTACATGAGGCAGCCCACAAGCTCTGGATACGGACCACTCGACTCTACGGACTCATCCGAAGGCAGAGCTGAGAGCGAGTGTCCCGTAGGCAGAGGAGTGGACTGAGGCGAGGAGTACGTGAAGCCGAAGCGCTGAAGGACCTGCTGCACCATGTGTGACTGAGTCAGGGTAATGGTGCGGCGTGCTCTGTCCCGGGTGATCCGCAAGCCAAGATAGCTTGTCAGTTCACCCAGGTCTGTGCACGTGTGTCTCTTCTGCAGCTCGGACTTCACGTGGGCGAGTGCGGCAGTGTCCGCAGTGGCAAAGACCAAGTCGTCGACGTACACGAGGATGTAGAACGGCGGTAGCGAGGTGTCGGTGCGCAGAAACAGCGACGGGTCAGCAGTAGAAGGAGCAAACCCAAGAGCCACAAGTGTAGTCCTTAGTGTGTCGCGCCACTCACGCGGCGCCTGGCGGAGACTGTAGACTGGCCGCCGGAGGCTCCACTGGGTACCAGGAGGGAACGACCCAGTGAAGCCAGGAGGGCGGCGCAGCCAGATCTCCTCGTGCAGGCGGCCCTGCAGGAAAGCAGTGCTGAAGTCAAGAGAGTGTAGCTCGTAGTCACGCTGAGCAGCGACGTGCAGTAGAACCCGAAGAGTGGTCATCTTCGGGGTCGGGGAGAAGGTCTGAAAGAAGTCAACTCCCTGTCGCTGACTAAAGCCACGAGCCACGTAGCGCGCCTTGAAGACAGGCGGAGAACCCGGCGGCCGCTTCACCCTGAAGATCCACATGCCACTGACAATGTTCGCCCCAGGAGGGGGAACAGCGTCAACGTAGGTGCCTGTGGACTTCCAGGAAGCCATCTCTGCGTCCATGGCTGACTGCCACTGAGAGGAGTAGGGACCGGCCATCGCCTCTGCGTAAGAGCGTGGGGTCGGGATGTCTAGAGCATCCGGGTCTCCCTCAGGGGCAACAAGCATGGACACGAGATGGGGCAAAGCGGCGGCAAAGCACTGGAACTCCTCCTGCCTGTCCTCAAGGACGTCCGTGCCAAGAGCACAGTCACCCCCGACGGACGGAGGACAGGCAGATGCAGACGCAGCAGACGCAGACTCAGCAGACTCAGCAACAAGACTGGCAGCGTAGTCCAGACGACACGCAGCAGCAAAGTCGACCAGCTCAGCAACTAGGGCAGACGCAGCAGCGGACTCAAAGGAAGGGTCAGTGACAAGAGTAGCAAGAAGACGCGTGACAGTAGGACTGGCAGCACGGTGAGAGTCCGACTCCGGGTCGGCAAGTGTAGGAAGAGAAGACTGAGGAGGAGAAGGCAAAGGGGCACGCAGAGGAGCAGTGGACGGACGCAGAGACATCTGGTGCGTGCCAGGGACAGGAGGAGGACGCTGACGCGAACCGCGACCACTAGGGCGAGCAGCTCGGACTGGCGACGCAGGGCGGGACGCAGGCTCACGACGCTCAGCAAGACCTCCAGTAGGACCAGCGTAGGGAGAAGGAGAAGGCAGGGGAGAGGCGGGCTGTAACTGTGACCGTGACGGGACAGGCTGCGGACACTCTACGGGAGGAGAAGGACCAGTGGAAGGCGGGAGACCAAGAACCTGCTGAAGGAGCGGAACGAAGTACGGCCGAGGCCGCGCAGCACCGCCAGAGACAGCAGGGACAGGACCAACACCTCCAGAGGCAGCACCAGTACCAGTAGCAGCTCCAACTCCAGCACCACCAGCAGCTGCAGAAGTACCCGCAGTAGGACCGACAGTCGTAGCCTCAGCGCCAGCACCCGCAGCAGCTCCAGCTCCAGAGGCACCCCCGGGCCCGGCAGCTCCAGTACCCTCAGTACGAGCACCTCCGGGACCCGTGGTACCAGCTCCCTCGGCAGCAACGGAACCTCCAGCACTCGCAGTACCCCCAGCTCCAGCAGCTCGCCTCCAGCGCCGGGCAAACCACTCACGCAGCTCCAGAGGAGAGAGCGGCTCGCGGCGCGAAGAACGGTCTGGAGAACCACCAGGAACAGAAGCAGCAGGCGCAGCACTCCCAGACGCAGAACCCCCAGGCTCAGCACCCCCAGGCACAGCACCCCCAGGCTCAGCACCCCCAGGCTCAGTACCCCCAGGCTCAGCACCCCCAGTCTCAGCACCCCGAGGCTCAGTACCCCCAGGCTCAGCACCCCCAGGCTCAGCACCCCCAGTCTCAGCACCCCCAGGCTCAGCACCCCCAGTCTCAGCACCCCCAGTCTCAGCACCCAGAGGCTCCGCACCCGCAGCAGCACCAGAGTCACCAGTGACCTCGACAGGCTCGACCGTGTCTACCTGAGACACACCTGAAGGGGCAGGACCCTGAGGGGGGAGGGGGTCTACCGGGGGGGGGACCTGGGACCAGGAAGAGGGGCGGGGGGGGGAGGGACGGAGTGCGGTAGGGGAAGAGCCGCTAGAAGGGAACCGACTCGTCGAACGTGACGTCCTGGGAGGACAGAACACGACGAGAGGTGGGGTGGTAAAACTGCCACCGAGGTG